CCGCGTCTCTTTTTTTGTTTATTGTTTAAACAAGTTTGGTTGTTTAGCTTGTAGTTCAAGTGAAAGTTTTTTACGTTACTCCGCTAAAGGTGAGCTATGTAATAAGGGTTTCTGTTTGTTTGTGTAAGTGTGAAATATTTCACACAATGACTTTGTTGTTTTGTTTGGTTTCCAAAAAAAATAATGACACTATTTTTGTTGTTGTTTAATTTTGTTAATGACATTTCGGGTGAAATGAACTATTTTGCAATGCAGGATGAACCAATTTCAGGTTTTTAAAAATACCCTACGCCATGGCTTAGTGGGTTTGTTAAGCTTGTTGTTTGGTTAATAACTCCTCAAAATTATCATTTAGGCCGATATTATCCATTTGGTGCACAATAAACCTGAATTCGGATAAAGGTATATAAGGGAGCTATATCCGAATCCGAACCGATCCCGATAAAATTTGGCAAAAGCGTTTCTGGTCTGTATCTACTGTACGAACTTGAGGGACTTAAAATCTCAAATCGGATGAAACATATATATGGGAGCTATAGCTATATCTGAACCGATTTTCATGAAATTTGATGTACTTGCTTCTAGAACTAATTCGATCAGATGTGCAAAAATGCAGGTCGTTTGGAGTAGTATTGGCGATTTACGGCACAATTAAATCGAAATCGGTTGAAAATATATATGAGAGCTATATATAAATTTGAACCGATTCTCACCAATTTCAATAGGGTTCGCCCTTGGTCCAAATAAATTTTGTTTGGAAAATTTTATCTCAATCGGATGATAAATGCGACCAGCATTTTGTTCACAAAAATACATAGATGGACGGATGGGCAGACAGAAGGACTGACATGCATATATCGACTCAGAAAGTGATTCCATAAAGCATAGATGCCCAGTAGTGGCTGATTTCAGCAATTTCATCTCACACGTATTCTTACGCTCTTTTGTTTGATCGCCAATCAACCAATAGGAAAGCAGAAATATGAGTGGGAGAGACAAGCTACACAGGCAGAAATTCTGTGTAATATTTACATTTAATCGTAATCGAGACTGCTGTTAGTGAACACATAAACTGAAAATTATTGCGATATGTCAATGATGTCATTTCAAAAGCATTTTATGCTACAAAATGCTTTTGATGATATGCAATGTGTTATATGTTATAAGACATTTAAAAAAATAAGAAATATAATAAAAAAACATTTTGAAACTGTTCATAAAGACATGAATTGTTTGCAGGGGGAAGAAAAAGAAAAACGATTTAAAATGTATAAGAAACTTTTTATAAAAAAGTTGAAGGAATGGGTAAATCAATATTGAGATAATGATGAAGATATGGTGGAGGAGAATTTAAAAATGGGTTTATCTAACTTAATAAGTTTATATATTATAAAAAAGGGAAGGCCATTTTCAGATGGGCCGTTTGTCAAAAATATGTTGTGTCAAGTTTTTGAAAAACTTAATTTTAACACTAATTTTATTAAAAAATTACCTTTGTCCCGCAATAGTATAACCCGGCGATCCCTGTACATTCATTAATTTTACATTTCCCAGAAAAAGCAAAAAATTACGACACCCGCCACACATGTGCTTTCGTCGCTATCTCGTTGACGACTAAATAAAATGAATAGAAAAATATTTTCTTCCAGTGTTATTTCGTCGCTCTCACCAATACTATTACATTGGGCATCTATGCCATAAAGGTTCTCAAAAGTAAATATGGGTCTATATAGCTTTCTTCTCCATGTTACAAACAAATGCACAAAGACATTATACCCTTACCACTATTTGGTGTAGGGTATAAATATTAAAAGAAGAAAATGGAATTCTCACTCTGTCTCAAATGATCAAATTTTCCAAATGATCTAATTTTTTTGCTCATCACCGGTCCTTTAACCTAACTTTCTCTCATTCGGCTAACTTCAAAGTTTGTTTCCTAAGTCTTTTGATGCACTGCTAACATACTATGCATGTGAAGTACAATAACCTTGCCAGACCAATCGAAATCATGCATATAGGCTGTAAACATTAGAACCGTAAAACACTTACCTTTTCAGCCTAATTATTTAGCCAACACACACACCATCAAGAACCATTTAAATGAATGAATGATTAGATCTGCTGGCCAGACATAATATGACCAAATAACAAGCATGTTTATGTTTAGTTAACAAGGCCACAAATAAGTAACAAAAAAACGTAAAACTTGAAATAACGTGAGCCGTCCACAATCGTTCTGGTGGAGAACCTTAGATTCGAACACAATATTGTGTTGTTGTCTATTTTGCCTCAGAGATAACGGATGAAATGAAAAAGAATGACTAAGGCATCTGATTGTCTAGAATTTGACATGCCTCCGTCCATACATACATACATACATACAAGAAGGCAACAAAGCACGTGAGTAAACTTGCCTTGAGAAAAACAAAAATCACGGTAGTGGCGCTTTTGGTCTACTCTTCTTCTTCTTCTGGGAGAAACCCCAACAGCACAGAATCAAGAATGACGTTTTTTTCTATTTATTTTTGTTGTGGTTCTCTTTTTGATGTGTTTTCTCTGGGTTAATAGCACACTTGTACAATAACATTAGCACATGGTAAAGTAAAATCAACTGGTTTTGACTGTTCGATCGACTCTAGCGGCAATTTGATGACGCAGATAATGACAATTAAATCAAGATGAACATAATGATGTCGTATTTGTCTAACTGAGATAGATTTCATGCATAGAGCTCAGCTCTTGTAAAAGAGATCACCAATTTTGAGATAACAATTCGAACTCAATTGAGAGAATTCCGTGTTGAGAGCAACAAATGTACCATTGAAGAGAAACTCAAAGCAGGCGAAAAAAACGTATATTGAGATATTTTATGGTTTTATGAGCATGAATTTAGAAAACTGTCAAGTTAACAGCTTTCTTTTAGCCACGGTTCATAAACCAACTAACAACATTCACTTGCAGTCAAGACTTGTTTGGGGCACCAACGGAAAGTTGAGGAACGAAAAAATAAAAAAAGAAACGGCGGTGGTGAAAAATAACTACAAAAGAAAAACTTAATGTGGCAAGAAATAGTGAAATTTCCCAACTAAAAATCCATAGAAATTGTTACAGAAAATAGAACTAAAACAATATTTAGTTAAATAAAGTCTGGTGGAAAAGTTAAAAATGTTATGACTGATTTGAACTTGCCAATAGAAGAAGTAACAAGAAGGTGGTAAAAAAATAAATTTGAAAAGAATATTTATTTTTAAAACGAAGTTAATTATTTTTGGTTACTTTAATGAAGACCTTAAGCTCAAAATGACATACTATTGTTTAGTTTAAAAAAAAAATAAATAAAAAAGTGGTTAAAAAATAACCATAAATCGATATTTGTTTACACAATTTTTATACCCTCAGCCATATGACTAGCGAGGGTATATATCATTTGATATGCCCAAAACGTGCCTCATCGAAATAAGGGTTCTAGACCTCAGGTCTCCTTGGAGCATCTTGGATCTAGGTGGTGTCCGTCCGTCAGTCTGGCTGGTGCGCACGATAGCTCTCGAAGGGGTGTATCCGATTTGGTCCAAACTTTGTACATCGTAATATTATTATCAAACATAGATCGAGTTCGGAGATCGACAAAATCGGTTCACTCCTTCTGGTACCTCCCGCACAAAAGGTCGAAATTTTCAAAGAAAATATTTTACTGCACAGAAAGAGAAAACAACATCCAATTTTGCTCCAACTTTGCAAATCCTAATATTTGCATGAATGCTAGCTCAGATGCGAAAATGGTCAATGTCGGTCCACTCCATCTAGTACCTCTCCCACAAAGGGTCAACATTTTGAATAATTATAACTCTTATAAAATGTGATGTATGTGCTCGATTATCTCCAAATTACACAGATCATAATATTTTTATTAACCCAAGGTCTGGTGTGAAGATTGAATATATCGGTCCACACCTTCTGGTACCTCCCCCACAAAAGGGTCAACATTTTGAATATCCCTGAAGGTCATAAAAGGCGATATTAACAGTCAATTCCATTCAGACTTGACACATCTCAATATTCCTATCAACACAAGATCTGTTACAAAGATGATAGAGATCGGACCATTCCTTCTGGTACCTCCCCCACAAAGGGTCAAAGTTTTGAATAACAAAAACCAATATAAAATCCGGTATTTTCATATTTCAGACATCGCATTATTTCTACTACCACAAGATATGCTGTAGAGATGGGATATATCGGTCCTCTCCTTTTGCTAACACAACATCTGTTGTGAAGATGATACATATCTGCGAAACCCTTCTGGTAGCTCACCAATATAGGGTTACAATTTTCAAATGTTTATCTGTCGTAACTTGCGAAACAAGTCAGCAAATCTTTACCACTTGCTATATCTAATTTTTTCTCTCAGTCAGAAACCTGAGATAAGTTTGGAATTTATGATTTTGCAAAAAATTGGTTTTAAATGTTTGATTTTCTAATAATTTTGCTAAAATGGAAAAAATTCGACTCTCCGTTGCGATATACCAAAAAAAAAACATGGAAATTCGAAGTGTTGGTCTATGAATATGCCAGCCATTAAACAACAATTTATGTTCGTTCAGAAGGCCACATGATCGACTCCTGGAGAGACTAAACACAAATTCAAGTCTTGTATCTCAAAAATTAAACGAATGATCATTCACTTTTTAATGAAATTTAATTTAACATAAGGAGTTAGTAAGTGTTAACAAACCGAAGTAAGTAGTTACAGAAGTAGGCAATACATCCATTACCTGGTAATGTGTTTATTTTATGTCAATAAGTCACCACATTTTTACCCACTCAGCGTGGGTAAAAAATTAAATTTTCAAGAGTAAAAGAAAAATTTTAAAAATTCCTTTGACATTTGAATAGAAATTTTGAATATGTTATTAAAATTAAAAATAATAATCATTTAATTTTTTCCTAATAAAATCACAAATTTATTATTAAATTTTCTTTAAATTTTATTTTCTTTGCAGTTGATTCACTTTGGTGTTGGAGTGTTTTCATATATGTTATCCCCCAGACTTGGACGTAACAGTATTTAAATTAAGGATTTCCAAAACTACACAGACACCCTAACACACAACATGGGACAACCACATAGGCGATCGAATTGGCTGGCTTTATTTTGTATAGTTTTAACGTTAAAGGTAAGCTAAACGTTCAAACAATGTTCCATAACTTTTCAGTAAACGAATACAGATGACTCTCCCAAAACAAAACAAAAGTGAAATGATGTTTGTTTAAAAAAAACTTTTTCTTTTTTTCGGAATTATATTAAACAATCGACTAAAAATTGGTAACGGTTTATTGAAAGCTTAACCCAATTCATGTCAAACTAGCAAAAATCTATTCAATCTTTTTTACATATAAATGTAAATAAGATGAAATATTGGGTTTTTTTTTTTTGTGAAATTTCGATAACAAATCAACAAAAAGTTCAATCACAACTGCGCCAACCTTCTCAAATGCGCCAAACAAACGGAACTTGTTCGCCAGACCACACATAAAATATAATTACACTGGATTTTTCTTTACAAAGCTTTTGTGTTTTCAACGCTTGGGAAAAATGAAAGAAAATATTTCCAAAGAGAAACAACAGCAACAGCTTCAAACAACAAATCAAACTAAGGTGTTGTTAGAAATCGAACATTAATGGGATGAGAGTTGTTGTTTTGCATTGGCATATGATGTCTGAGCTGTGAACTAAGCCGAGATGACTGAATGAATGAACGAATGGTTGAGTGACTGAATAAATCCAGACAAAAACAAAACCGAAGAAGATTTCTTGATCGACATTCGACATTGACCGTTACACACTGTTGTTGATGTTTTTGTTCTTTATTGAGTGCTACAGTTTAGTCGGCTAAATTAATACCACTTCCAGATTTGAAGTATGATTCCCCTTGGCATCAACGGGGTTTCAAACTTAAAATTGTTATACTTTTATTGTTGTTATTAAATTATTTTAAAATATATAGCCTAGGAAATATTAGCCCACCAGACATTTGGTAATAATTGTTAATAATTGCTGTAAAAGCCAACAGCTGTGCGATTGAGATTAACCGACCGGTATTTTGATTATTTTAGCGACATCATTAACCCGAATCGTTTCAAATTTCGTATTTAAACTCTGTAATGGATGCTACAGCCTATGCCTCTCAAGTCTTGGATACTACAGCCTATGCCTCTCAAGTCTTCGGCGACATCATTAACCCGAATCGTTTCAAATTTCGTATTTAAACTCTGTAATGGATACTACAGCCTATGCCTCTCAAGTCTTGGATACTACAGCCTATGCCTCTCAAGTCTTCGGAGAGGCCCTATGACAAAAAATTATTTATGCAGGTCCACGTCTACGCATAGCCCCCATATAAGGGTCATCATTTACAGGGTATTTTTCGGGATTCGTTGAAGTTTTTCAAGTTCTTTCCAAATGGTTGAGGGTATTAAAAGTTCAGCTCGGCCGAACTTAGCTCCTTTTTTACTTGTTTTATATGCTTTTAGACAATAGACCTTCAGCATTATATTATACCATCAAATAAATAATGTTTCATAATACAAAATTTCTATTTTTTTAAATTTAGCTGTTTTGCCCAATTATTTTGTCCTATTATTGGAAATGTCTTTTTTCCAGTAAAAACCGATCAGTAAGTTATTTTGGGAGATTTTTTCTTCCGTACGAAAATAGAGAATAAAGTAAAAAGCAGACGTCCGAATTTTTCTCGCGAGTGAAACTACTCGCTAGCAGAAGTGCTCGAAGAGTGCCCGTTTCAGTCTTTTGTTTTAGGTAGGGTCGCTCACGAGTTTCTCCTGTTTGAAAAACAAATTAGCAAAGGCTTTCACATGGGACCGACCATGTGATACCCTACAACACTACAATATGTTGGAAGCCCCTTAATGTCCAAATTCATGTTGGAAGATGTCATTTTTGAAATAATGTCCTAAAGCCCTGTCCAGATGTTACCCTTAGCTTTTTGACCGGGGGTATTTCCAGAATATTTACGCACTCCCTCGTGTTGTTGGGTATTCAAAACTATTTCACACGAAAATTGCGGTCCATTTTACAGCTAAATATAACCCAATGTTCATCCAAAATGTTAGACTTCTGTCCCAATCTTAACCTTCTCCTCATGCAAAAATCTGTGTCCTTTAGTTTTTCATTGTAACCAGTAAAGGGACTGCAAATTCTGAAAAAAAAAATTTTTGGTCCATTTCAACTCATAAATATACATTTTCAAAATAATAGACTCAGACCCTAACCTTGCCTCCATGCAAAATTTAGTGAGGATCGGACGATAGTTGCGGCCAGAATATAATGCCCTCAACACATACTTTTGTAGGGTGTACAAATATTTCAAAATGTACAAATCTATATTGTAGTATGAAATATGAAATAAAATCGCATGCGATAAAAAAACTGACAAAAAATATTCACTTTTTTATTGGCATATTTTGGCGCGATTTTCTTATTTTTTATCCTTTTCTGACAAGAGGCCATTGCAAGTTGGTGAAAATAGTAAAATTGCCCTAAACTATATCCCCATGCTATAATCCGTCGATTGGTCTATATTTACAGCCTGTAGAGCAGCTACGAAATCAGGAATTTGCTGTTTTTTTTTTTTTCATTCCGATCCCTAAATATTTTGAGATCATCTCCAAAAAAAGAATAGGGTTCTATTTTGGTCCACCATCATTTTCAATTTCGTGAGGATCGGCCCATAATTGTGACCTGTAGCTTGGTCACAAATTAACATGGACAGATGGGCGAACATACATAGCTAGAACGACTCAGCTCTGCAAGATAGGAAGATCCATATATAGTTTCCTACTGAACAAATTCCTCTCACTTAAATTCAATAAATCTCAGTAATACAACTGTCACAATATCCCTCTCGATTCGTTCTCTTTGACTTATTTTATCCAATGATACTCAGAATATATTATTATATTATTATGCATCGATGCACAAAAACGTACGTTAGCAACACTGACTATACAAGTATTCTCTTTTCTCACTTTTCGACGCCGATTTTTGATGGTGAATTCTTAATTACGCTCATATACTCTCTTAATTTAGTCATGCAAATCATTGTTGGTGTGAGACTCTCTCGTCCTTAACAATCAATGACAAATGAAAAAAAAGAAAGAAATTTACACTTTATACGATAGCTGACACAGTTTATATCAGATTAACGCCTTAAAATACGTTTAAATCAGCTCCAGCCCGAAAAAGGCACGCTTATCTTCGAGCGAGACTCTCTCCAAACAAAATTGGGAGAAAAAATAAACAGTATTGGGAGTTGAAAATAAACAGTATGGTGCTGTACCGTTCCGAGGTGAAGTGGTACACTAAGATAATATACCGTACCGGAACACAACCCTTAAAAAAATTTTAGTGATGCTGTACCGGAACACAACGAGAATCGTAGTGTACCGCAGTCGGAGCACTAGAAAATCTTAGTGTTCCGCAGCCGGAGCACTACAAAATCGTAGTGTATCACATGACGGAACATTAAAAAAATATTGTACCGGTAGTAGTAGAGAAAAATTAGATGTTCGATTTTTTGGATAATGCTAAAATTATTGATACAATTCAATATTATGAAAATAAAATCTGGATTTATTTTATTTGTCACGTATGTTTAGATTGGTTGCGAAATTGAAAATAGTAGAAAAATATGAGAATAGGTAGAAAGAATATGAAAGGACCAAATCTAAAATGATAATAATTTGTATTTATTTACGCTATTTTTGTGGTACCGAAAAATCAATGAATGTATGGCTGAGTGTTTAAAATCAGTATTTCGTATCGGAGTACATGTAGTCTTATTTATTTTAAAAACAATATTTTTACGATATATGTAAAAATGCCAATGTCCTGTTTTTCAATTCTTATCAAACGTTCAGTAAATAATTACAAAAATGCCGCGACCTAAAAATATTATTTTTTTTAGATATGTTCAATACAAATACATTTATTTATTATTAATGCTATAATACCAAAAAATCAAACATCCCATTTTTGTCCAAATCATAAAAGCACATTTTGTTTAATGTGGTGCATGTGGTACACTACGATTTTTTAGTGCTCCGATTGCGGAACACTACGATTTTTTTGTGCTCCGACTGCGGTACACTACGATCATCGTTGTGTTCCGGTACACTAAACTATCTTTGTGTACTGTTTATTTTCGAACGCTGCATAAAATGAGACTCACTGTCGGACACTGATTTATGGATTAAAATGACCAATTCCATTGTATACATGGAAGATAACTACTCTTTAAATTTGAAATCAAGCGAATATATAGAAGCTATGTAGTCAAATTTGTGTCATGTCAAATCTGGAAATTCTGTTAAATTAAAACATTTCCCTTTTGTTTTTCTAAAACATAAACAAATTATGCCAACATAAATTTATCTTAATTCAATTTTCATTAACGCCAATTTCACTCTCACATTGCGAGTGAAAAAAAACTTATATATTAATAAATTAAAGCTATAAATTAGTTTCATTTATATAAAGATATATTCGTTTCGTTGCTAAAACTTCGATAAAACTTTATATCTCATGCTCCAGCAACTTGCATTAGATCTATATGTAGGTCTTGCTTTACAAATGTACGTGCACACATACATATAAATGTACATGCATATGGATATTTTGTGTGTGTGTGTGTGTGTGTGTGTGTGTGTGTGTGTGTGTATTGAAGTAAATCTTCTTTTATATTTATTTAAGCTGGTGTTTTTTTTTTCTGCCGTATAGCGTGTTTGTGTCTAGCTAAAATGCAGTTATGCTCTGATTTGTACCAGTTTTAACTTTCTTCACTCATTCATTTACGTTCAGCATGAACATTTTCTTTCAATTTCTTTCTATTTTGTTGTTGTTGCTGTTGTTGTTTTTCATCTTTGGTACGCAGCTTAAGCATTTTAAATCGTACACCGAAATAATAGGCATTGTCTGTGGCGTATAAAAAGAATGATGGCCGTATTGACATCGATATGAAAATCTATATATATAAATCTATAGTAATAATATTGTTAATAATAACAATTGTTGGATGTTAGGTCCCTAAAAAAATTCAACTAATTATTTGTGCCTCACATTAAAAAAATCCGATAAAAATCATAGTAATAGAAAACAAATTTAAAAAAAATAAAAACAAATTGCACCAACCGAACAATATTCAATCTATATAAAATCTTTAGATTCATTCAGCTACAAATTAAAAATAATTCAATTTGTAAGAAATTGTACCAAAAATACTGAAACTAAGAGAAAGGTATATTAATTTCATTTTATGTATAACATATCGAAATATTAACCTGGATTTCCGATTACACTGTGCCACATAAAAATAATTACTTGGGAAAACCAGCAGTCATTGGAAAATATGGCCAAGGGCCTTGCAATAACTAAAATCAGGGTGTAACATCATATAACTGTTCTACCAAAAGGTTCGCCTATATACAGGGTGAGATAAAAAAAAACTGCAACAAAGTCAAACGCCATCATTTTTACATTTTTTTCTTTAAATTTCATTGAATGACAGCAAAACATGTGGGAAATAACATCAAATTTTAGAATGAGTTTAGTTTTGTTCGAATTGGTCACCATTGGCACGAAATATGGCCCTCAAACGGCCAATAAAACCGACATACGTTGCCCGAATGTTGCTCTGCGGTATTTTGACCTATTCCCGGCGAAGCGCTTGCTTTAGGTGATCGACACTTTGGCATTTTTTAGTGCCAACCTTGCTTTCCAAAATACTCCAGACACAATAGTCCAACGGATTGGTATCCGGAGATTTTGGTGGCCGTTGTGCGCTGGAAATGAAGCGAGGAACCTCACTTTGTAACCATTCTTGGGTGGTTCGTGCGGTGTGTGATGGTGCTGAGTCCTGTTGCCCAAGGCTTAATTATTCTGATGGCACGGTCGATTAATGCGAGTCGAAAGCGACCATCGGTTGTTATGGCGGCCCACACCATCACCATGGTCGGCGCTTGAGTTGTGGTGGCCAATCGAAGATCCACATTTTCAGCTAACCTCTTTGGCAAGTAAACACCATCATTCTGTTTGTTTACAAACTGCTGGACAACGATTGTTTTCTCATCAGAGAAAACCAAATTCGGCAGTTCACCACTTTCGGCCAAGCGTAGCAACTCTTTAGCTCTTTTGAGTCTATTTTCTTTCTGTCGTGGTGTAAGTCCTTGCATTTTTTGGAATTTAAATGGCTTTACCACGAGCTTTCGGACGAGTGGCTTAGAAATGACAGCAGTCTGAAGTTGGTTGCAGTTTTTTCATCTCACCCTGTATAGTCAAAAATCGATCACCGACGACGATACGTAAACGTACTTTAATAATTGATACTTACATAGTTATTTAAAAAAATATCTGAATTAAAATTGTGTTGTGTTGTTGTGTAATCGTGTCCTTTTGTAAATCGTTTCCTTTTCTGAGAAATTGGGACCGGAGATTAAATATTTTGTTACGAAATTAATTGATTCCAAAATTGTTTTAACCTTTTTGGAAGTTTTGAATATATTCAATCAAATTCCTCATTCACGTGTTCATGGTTTGATCAAAGATTCTTGGCAAAAATGTTACATATTTAAATTATATACACATCTTTGGCATATAAATATCTATATATATATGTGTGTGTGAAATAATACTTACGTATATAACCTCAAAATTCCATATTACATTGAACATTTCCTTGATAGATACAAGAAAACTAAACGTACTCGGAGCAGAAAATTACAAAATATTTAAACACTGGTTCCATAATTTAAAACAATGCGGATGTTATGGCTAAGTGAATTTTTTATTCACTATTGGGGATGGGGGAGAAAACGTCATCACCTTAACACCATTTATTTTTCGTTTTAATAAAATGAAAAACAATTCAGACCGCCAACAGCATGTTACAGCCGCAAGAGATGATGATCGCTTGGTATTACCACAAAATATTACATAATAGCCCATAGCAAGCGTTACGTAAATTTGGCTACACGCAGTGAGACATCGTCTGACAACAAGGGTTGAGATACATACGTTAATATACTTACGGAATGATTTCGAAATCACAGTTTACATTCCGATGAATACAGTTCCAGAGAAATAACAAAAACACATTAATTGCCAACAAATTTGGAATAAGCTTAAAAAAATACACGGGCTCACAACGAAGTGATAAAGACAAAGATGGTGGTGGTGTGGGGAAGCGCAACACTCATGTTTACGTAGTGTCGTACTTCACGCTGACAAAAGAAAACAAAATCAACTCACTTTCAACAACCTTGGTTTGGGATTAATTTTATCACCTCCACATCATCTTCTACTTCTTTTTTAACCCTTTACAATTTTACGCCCAAAATTAATATTTCCTGTTTCTTTTTTCTTTTTGTTTTCTTCGTTTCGTTTCATGTACTTCTGCAGAATGCTTACTGTGAGGGACCTCATGTGGACTCTGCTTCCCTGCCACTTGAACACAGATCGGTATATGGAGCACCACCGCCCTCACCCGTTTATGGATCACCACAAACAGCATTAGCTGCCAGTCCCAGCAATGATATCGCCGACGAAGCCTGGCCGTTGGCCACGACGAACGATAGCCCCCAGATCAAACACTTGCAGGTGCAATGTGAAAAGACCCACATGCGCGTCAATATCGAATTCGATCGACCCTTCTATGGCATGATCTTCTCGAAGGGCTTCTACAGTGATCCCCATTGTGTCCATTTGAAACCGGGCACAGGTCATTTGAGCGCCACATTTGAAATTTTCCTCAACAGCTGCGGCATGACAAGTTCGGCAAATCACAATGCTGCCGGCTATGGAGCACCCACACCATCGGGCAGTTATGTAGAGAACACAATTATCATCCAATACGATCCCTATGTCCAGGAGGTTTGGGATCAGGCCAGAAAATTGCGTTGCACTTGGTATGATTTCTATGAAAAGGCTGTGACCTTCCGACCTTTCCAGGTTGATATGTTGCACGCCGTTACCGCCAACTTCTTGGGTGATAATTTGCAGTGCTGGATGCAAATCCAGGTTGGTAAGGGACCTTGGGCTTCGGAAGTGTCAGGTATTGTTAAGATTGGTCAGACCATGACCATGGTGTTGGCCATCAAGGACGATGAGAACAAGTTCGATATGTTGGTACGCAACTGTGTGGCTCATGATGGCAAACGTGCACCCATTCAACTGGTAGATCAAAATGGCTGTGTTGTCAGACCAAAGATTATGAGCAAATTCCAGAAGATCAAGAACTTCGGACCATCGGCATCAGTTGTTAGCTTTGCTTACTTCCAGGCCTTCAAATTCCCCGACTCCATGAATGTCCACTTCCAATGTGTCATACAGGTGTGTCGCTACAACTGCCCTGAACCCAAGTGCGGACCTAGTTTGGCCGGCGGTGAGTATGGTGTACCACAAATTGGTGGTAATGCCCTCTCCTCCGAGTACGGACCACCAGAGCCCTATGAACGTGGAGACTTTGGTCTTGGCGGTTTGCCACCAGCAGCCTATCCCGATCCCAGACATCAAGCCGGTGATTCGACCGGTGCCTATTCCGAAAATCAACCAGATGTTGTACCCTCACCCCAGGCCCAAACCGCCGGCATTGCTGATTCAGGTCCAGCTAGCTCTCAGGCCCCCGCCCAAAATCCCAATGATTTGCACATGCCTCCACCACCATTGCCCGGCCAACCAGGCCAATACAGTACCGTTAAGCGCAAGGACGACATGGAAGGTGGAAATTTGGTATCGCTGGGTGGCCGTCCTCGCTCCGTTGAAGGACTTGATGATTTACGTGGTGTCCGCAGGCGCCGTGATACCATTGACGTTGTGGTCAAGCCAAGAATCTACAAACGTGATGCCCAAGAAATGACCGATGTCAACACCAGCCGCATCATTCAAGTGGTTGCCCCCGGTGATGTGAACTTTGCCCTCAACAGCAATGCCAACAACGAAACAGTGGTCATACAATCAGCACGCAATGCTGATCCAGAAACCATCTGTATGTCGGTGCCCAGCTTTGTAGGCGGTCTGGTTATGCTCCTACTTGTTTTGGCTGTTGCCTCCCTAGTCGCTGCTTTCCTCTTTGTTCGTGTCCGACATTTCGATCGCAAAGGAGCACCCATGGGTTATCACAATTAAGTTGTTATTGTTAGTTGGGCCCAACAAACTAGGCCCACGCCGCCTAACTTCCACATAGACTTCTCAAGCTTCTCACCCAATGCGAAATCCCCATTGTTACTGCTGGTTGCGACGACATCTCTTTACAAAAACATCCATTACCTCTCATCGATAGAAACAACAAATTCAACAAATCATGATATAAACAAAAGAAAGAAAGATAGAAAAAAACCAACAACAACAAACCATAAAAAGGATTCTCTTATTATTATTTATGTATGTGTGTAATTTATTTATTAATTAATTTATTTATTATTTTTGTATTATTTATTTCCGTTCTAAATGCAAAAACAAAAACAAATGGACTTTTTTGTATTTATTTAATTAAGTTTCGAAAAACTAACGAATAAAAAAACAAAACAACACGAAATGAAAAAAATCACAAAATGTGTTTTAATTTAATCGAAATTAAATTATTGAAATAAGCGCTGCAAAAAAAAATGCCTTATAGGACCATATTAAGCCTCCTACCTTAAGACAATGTTGTGTGAACAGATCATACAGAAAGTCCATGATTAGTTTTCAAAATTAAACATTTTGTTGCGAAATAAATTGAAAGATTTCGGAGAAACCAAGCAAATAATGTGATTTTTATACCTTACAACGCCATGTATGTCCGCCCGTCCGTCTGTCCATGCTAATTCGGTCGCAATTATGGGCCGATCCTCACGAAATTGAAAGTGGAGGTGGGGTTAGGGTCAGAATATAACCCTGTTGTTTTTGGAGATGATTGAAAAATATTTAGGGGTTGATATGGATCAAAAATTTTGCAGTTGCTCTATAGGTCACAATTATGAACCAATCGAAGCTGACAGGTGATATTCCAGTGACAGCTCATTATATTATTTACAAGCATACAAAAGCATTTTGGTGAGAATTTTCCAGAAAAAAAGTTATTCGTGATGGAATTGGAGCGTGATAGTGTGATTTCTTTATATTTGGCTGGAAAGCAACAACTGGCTATCGTTAGAGCACTCCAGCATTTAAATGTGGAGGCCAACTGAAACTATGCACCACCAGAACTCAAGCGCCGGCCATTGGGATGGTGTGGGCAGCCATAACAGCCGATGTCCGCTCTAGGCTCGTATTAATCGACCGTGGCATCAGAATAAATGCCGAATATTATCGCGAAAATATTCTGGCCGCAGACCTTGGATATTTCAAAAGGACTCAGCTAGCGCCACTCAAGAATCGTTACAAAATGAGGTTCCTCGCTTCATTTCCAGGACTCACCAAGCGCCACTCAAGAATGGTTACAAAATGAGGTTCCTCGCTTCATTTCCAGCGCACAATGGCCACCAAAATCTCCGGATATCAATCCCTTGGACTATTGTGTCTGAAGTATTTTGAAAAGCAAGGTTGGCACTAAAAAATAGCAAAGTGTTGATCACCTCAAGCAATCGCTTCGCCGGGAATGATCCAAAATACCGCAGAGCAACATTCGGGCAGCGTGTGACGGTTTCATTGGCCGTTTGAAGGCCATAATTCGTGCCAGAGGTGACCAATTCGAACAAATCTAAACTTATTCTAAAATTTGATGCTATTTCCGACATTTTTTGATTTCATTCAATAAAATTTAAAAAAAAATGTAAAAATTATGGCGTTTGACTTTGTTGCAGTTTTTTTATCTCGCCCTGTATTTAGTCCCAGCCCAATCACAAATACATTAAAAGGTCACTTCTGACCATTAAAGTGATGCTGATAGCCAAGAAATCGGATATTTAGCAAAATAGGTACAATATATATGTAAAAGAATAGATCTTATTTATTCTGCTTATATGTCAAGAACCGCTGGGCCTATTTTCACAATTCCTTTCAATTCGGAATGGTCTCTTGCCAGAAAAGTATAAAATCGCAGAAAAATATACCAATAAAAATGAATATCTTTTGTTCCATTTTTTCAATTTTTGTCATATTTTTTATAATCTATCGTATAGACCACGATCTATCTACAGCTTATTCCCATAATTGTTGTTTTTATTATTACTTATTGGTGATATGGTCAAATGGCAATGTTTACCAGGGGGTAAGATATAGAATACCAGGTTTCGGAAAGAGCCACCAATTCTCATCAATTTCCTTGATTTTTGTCTGGGGGTATTATCCCCTGGAGTAATTTCAAAATAACTCCTTTGACGATAACTCCTTTTAGTCAAGTGATGAGATCGTAAGCTCAATAGAAGAGTAATCAAAAATTGAATTACCCCCTGGTAAACATTATCATTTCTCCACTAAAAATAAACATTGTTTTTATAAAAACAAAAAATTTGTGATTAAACCTAACTATTTGGCAACAAAAAAAAATTAAAATAAACAAAACCATTTGTTACATATTTAAAAACCTATTTGACACAATAAAGCTCTAGTACAGAGTGGAATTTTTCGTTATATTAATGTCTATACGACGTGGACCTGCATATGCAACTTTTGTCATAAACCAATACAATACAATATTCAAATGCGACACTTGAATAAAAAAATCAGTAAAATCATCAAAATACCGAATATAGGGAGGTACCGTTATATTGGAGTTATACGAAGACCTGGACCTGCACAGACAATTTTCTGTCATAGGCTGTAGCATGCATTACGAACTTCAAACACCAAATTTGAAACAATTTCGGTGAATAATGTCGCTAAAATCATCAAAGTACCGAATATTGGGAAGACGTGGACCTGCACAGACAATTTTCTGTCATAGACTGTAGTATGCGTTATGAACTTCAAATACCAAATTTGAAACAAATCCGGTGAATAATGTCGCTAGAATCATCACAATACCGAATATCGGGAGGTACCGTTATATGAGGGGTGAGTCGTGGACCTGCACAGACAATTCTGTCATAGGCTGTAGTACCCATTATGAATTTTAAATACCAAATTTGAAACATTCCCGGTGAATAATGTCGTTTAAATCACCAAAATACCGAAAAAATGGAGGTACCATTATATGGGGGCTATACCAAAACGTGGACCTACATGACCCATTTTCAATACCAAAAGTCCTGCAGACATAATACACATTTGAGTAAAATTTTATCAACCTACTTCATTTCGTTCGGAAGCTAGAGTGATTTCTGATCAGGAATACACTTTGTTGGGTCTAACATGTATATTTCGAGGTGTTACAAACGGAATGACAAACTGAATATACCCTCCTACTATGGAGGTATGAAATGGTATTTGGTACAGAAAAATAAGTATGCATTTTGAAATGTTAATTAACGTTTTAATTATTTAGGAACAAGCACAGGAATTTATTTATAAGTTGAAACAAAACTTGTTATTAGAATGCTGGCATTACCCTGGGTTAGGACAAGGGGTGAGAAGCTTCCTCCGGGTTATTTTTCAGTATTGTGTCCATTACTTTGCGTCTTGATTTATTTATTTATTTGCACTATGACAAGTATACAAAGCCTTTAGGCCAATTAAAGCGAAACTACAGAAACTATCAAAACTCTCGGCATTGTGCAAAAATGGGCAAAATTGATTTTCGCACAAAAAATATTAAACATGACATTTTTACAATTTCCACTTCTACACTGTTTCCTACTTATAAAGTTTGTTTTGATTAATTTCATTCCTCTAATGATGGCATATTTACAATTAATAATTATTTTTCGTAATTCACCAGATCGATTGGAATCTGATGAACGTAAAACAAAAATGATCGAAAATACATTCCGGAATTAAAACGATTCAGAATTGAATATGTGACATGTCTGTTAAAATAGATAGCATGGTCGAATCAGAAAGGTAATAATGCATTCATTGTGGAGGATAAAAATTGGTGGTGAAATTTTAATATAAATGAAAAATGTGCGTCTTTCTCTTTTGAGACCAGCTTAATGATCTGAAATATGCAAAAGGAAACCATTGAGACACAATCACATGCTCACCACTTTGTAACTATAATAAATGTCCTTGTTTTGAAAAGTAAAAGTTTAATGCTAGCCTTTCAAGAGAAAATTACTCTCAATTTGATAAGTACATATTGAAGTACTGTGATTTTTGAAGTGTTTTAGAAGATTTTTCATTATAGCTGTAGAATATAAAGTATTCATCTTTTTGTCGCATTATCAATTTCAAAAAGAATTGAATTTACCAAAACCACTCACAACTATCCTTAACAGTTCACATTATTTTTTAATCAAATTTACGATATTGTTTCCTGAATGTGAATTGTGTAGTACAATACATATGTACATATTAGAGTAAGTCAACAGCAAATTTTAAAAATCGCCAAGTCATATTGCTATTGAACTGATAACAAATTTTGTCTATAGTCATTCTAATAATGTTATCTTCATATGTTTGCCGTCACCATCATTAAGTACTACTCTACGTGGGGGATTCATTGAGCTGTAATAAATAAATCTATCTTCATTAATATATAGAATATTTACTGTATATTTTTATAAAAAATAGTTTCTATTGCAACAACTTTAAAATTACATAAAATACCATTGATACTAAATCATTATTTGTTTAATTTCCTATTTTAGTGTTTTACAATGTAATTTTCTACACAACTGGCATTAGATTAGAAGGGAAGTAGTTGTCCACAAGCACTGTCTGAAGCTTAAGCTTTAAAGCCAGCAGTTACGCCGCTCTAGCATCGTTGATTGTGGCTGGGACATGGACTTCCAGTCCATCCATATCTTTGGATAAAGTTATTTGACATCCCAAACGTGATGTGTCTGTTAAATCGTAGGCTAAATCTAACATGTCTAATTCTTCGTCACTGGGTTTTTCTGGCAATTTATTGTAATCATCTGGTTTGAATATCAAATGGCAAGTGGAGCAAGTAAGAGTGCCCTCGCAGGCCCCAAAACCGTCCAGATCAATTTCATTGTTTACTACGACATCCAAAAGAGAATCGCCCACTTTGCCTTTAGTTTCTATTCTCTCACCATTTGCCCTGATAAATGTCACCTTTACTCTAATGTACACAAAAAATAGAAAGTTTAATGATTATTCTTAATTAAGTAAATCACACTCCACGCTTACTCTTGGCTCAAAGAAACTCCCAGTGTAAATCTCCGTGTTTGTTTTAGTTGCGATTTAGAGGTTGTTATCATTTGACGACGAAGCAGATTACTTGTACAACTTAAAACATTTCTGAACGCCATCGTTGTATTGTTGTGTTAAGGGAATATTTGGGCTGAGGGAATACTATTACCTAATAATACAGGTACTTTCACACGACAATGATGAGGTTTTCCAACTAGCTTGCTTGTCCCATTCTACAATTAAGCTGTCAAATGTAGGTTTACCTAGGTCGGCGATAGCCTAATCATTTTAATGTTGTGTATTAGGGCTGTTCGGCTAGTTTAAAAACAAATACCTTGATATGTCTCATGTGAACACAAGTGGCTCAGAAGCCAACCGAAATTACAAGTTGTACCATGGTACAATAAAATCAAGGTAGGGTTATGTTACCATATGAATTTAATTTTTTTCTTTTCTTTATTTTTTTTTTCAACTTTATTTGTTTATGTGTGTGTATTCTTTTCAATAATAAAAAAACCAAACAAGTTGTTGCATTGATTTTAAATCAATAATTGAAAATCACCAAAACTGAATGAAATTTCAAAATTTTTTTTGAAAACTATGTTCTATATATCTCTAAAGGTTTATTCCGCTACAAAAACTGTAGATTTTGCCGAAGCCGTGGTAGAAGAAGGTAGATGGATCAACGCTTGGGAACATTGAAAGTTGTTAAAATGTTTTAACCATAATAAGTAGATTTTTATAAGTTTTCCTACAAAACACAAATAAAGGGTTGTTATGACATGGATTTTCAAAAATTTTTACAAATTTCAATAATTTCTCATTCAATACTTTCAATTCCAAAATTGGTTTGACAATTCATTGTTTCAGTATTTCCCGGTCCCGTTTGTTTTGAGCTAAATGAAATTATGGTTTTAGCATCGGATTAGTTTTTGACGTGTCTTCTGTTTTTTGAGAAATTTTAGTACTAGTTGTGCATTTTACAATTGTAACTAATATTTTCATGCCCATATTTCGTCAAAATATTTGTGTTGAAGAACAATTTTTTGAATAAAAATTTGTAATAATTGTAAAAAAAAATCATGTAATAACAACCTCCGATTGGCGTCGCATAGGAAAATATATACAAATTTACTTATTTTTGAAGAAACATTTAAAAGATGTTGGCATATCAATGTTCCCAAGTGTTGATGCATCTACCTTTATTCTTCTACCATGCTCATTTCAAGTAATAATCTCCACATCCATGGTACAATAAGGAGGTATAACATCTTCGTAAGACTATAGAAATACAGCCCTGAGGCTATGCCCGCTTCCTGTCAGATTCATTGAAAATTATATACAAGTTGATTTAATTTCTTTCAAATTTGTCCTAATTTTTAAAATCAGTTAAAAGCTCTAAAATTTAATGAAATGTCTGGATTTTCTCTCAAAAATATGATCCAAACTGTTCAATCTTTTAATGTCATGGCTAAACTACTTAATAACTTTAATACGCGAGCCCATGGTAGAAGAATACAGGAGTCGCATCGACACAGTTGCTGGGACAATGAACTGTCAAACCCATTTTGATATTGAAAATCGTGAATGGAAAATTATTGAAATTTGTAAAAATTGTTAAAAAACACATATCATTACAACCTCCGATTTGCTTCGTATAAGAAAACATATAAAAATCGACTTATTTTTGACAAAAGACTTAAAAAAAGACTATATTATTCTAACATGCGCGAGCCGCAATTTACGTGTTATTCAATCATTGGTTTTGAAAATATTTTGTTTTCACTTTAAAAACCAATAAATACATACACAAAATTAGCAGAAGTCGGGCACACTTAGGAAAAAAGTTTACCTTGAAATCCGAAAACAGTTTTCCATCACTGATTTATTTGTGGAACAGATTTGTTAGTAAACAGATTCACAATAAGATGGTATATAATTAAAAAAAATTGTTGCAGATCCTGGATATGAGCAATTCATGATAGAAGAATACTGGTGGGTGCATCAACGCTTGGGAACATTGATATGTCAACAGTTTTAAATATTTTATCAAAAATAAGTATATTTTTAAATGTTTTCTTATACGACGAAAATCGATGGTTTGTATAATATGAAATTTTCAACAATTTTTACATATTTCAATAATTTTCATTCAACATTTTCAATTCAAAAATCGTGTTGACAGTTCATTGTCCCAGCAGCTGTGTCGATGAGACTATCTTCATTCTTCTACCATGTGAGCAATTTCTGTTTGTGTCATGAATGGGTGGAAAATTTGACAACATATGCTCACATCATGGTAGAAGAATATAGGTAGACGCATCGACACAGCTGCTGAGACAATGAACTGTCAAACCAATTTTGGAATTGAAAATGTTGAATGAAAAATTATTTAAATTTGTAGGAAATGTTGAAAAACGCGAATTAAGATAACCACAGAATGACGTCATATAAGAAAACATATAAAAATCTACTTATATTTTAAAAAACATTTGACATTTTTTGGCATATCAATGTTCCGCAGCGTTGATGCGTCTGCTTGTATTTTTCTACCATGGCTCACATTAACAATAGCTCGTCTGACCGCAGTTTTAAAACTACCGGGAGGTGTTAATGAACCTAGTTCAGTCGCTCTTCCCGATGAATCGTTGAATTGAACTTCGTTGGTCAACTACCCAACACCACATTCGATTATTGTTTACATTTCAAGCATGGAAAAACTTTGGAACGATTTTGAATTAAAGAAACCACCATTTCTAACACTCCCATCGACAAAAACGTCTTTTGGTAAATAAGTTTATATCCGAAAGGAATTGCATAAAAATCACTCATCGCGAATAATTTTTTTTCCAGTGGTTCAACTCCATGCTTTAATAGAAACCTTTTTTAGCAAACATACTACACATGAGGAGGCATTCAACGAAACAGCCGCTCTCTTGGGGAGGCTGATGGCACGGCGTAAAAATTCCTTTAATAAAATGAAAGGATTCAAAGATATGTGTAAAATAAATACCGCACTATGCCGTCTCTTAAGATTGGATTTTAAAAGAGATTTAGAAGGTTTTAGAAGTGCATTACCTGATGTGGCCTATGAGGAAGGCACCTTGGCGCACTTACCCACGAGAGATACTTTCGATTTTTTGCTTGCACGTCTCGTTGCCGTCTGCGAACTCCACAAACGTATTGTTGAGTGTTGTGTTCAAGCTGCAGAATATTTCACAAGTCAATTGAAAATTCATTTCTTCTTCGAAACGTGTACTCTTTTGTTGGCTGTAATAGCCAAAATTCACGCTTTAAGTATAAAACGAGGAAATCTGGCCATACATTTATATAATAATTTACAACAATATCGAGAGAAATTACCTTTTAATGACAAGTCAAAGTTCCTTGAGATGTCTACTGCACTGCCATTGAAAATGGAAACAATGAAAAAAAGGCCACTCACAGTGGAGAAAACTGAAGAAAAAGTTAATGGCAAAGATGTAGATGAATCGACAGTCAAGCAGATCTTGGAAAATGAACTACAAAATACACTAATAACTCCGGTTAAAGCAAAAAAACTGAAAAAGGCTGACCTGGGGAAAATTGTCGAACGTTCAGAACTTAAAGATAATAGAACAAAATTTAGTATAGAAGACTTACAGAACGTCGAAGAAGTTCAAAAATTTATTACCTTGGAAACCAAAGAGAGATCATTAAATATGAAATCATGCGTAACTAGGAATGTGCTTAGTCATGAATGGAGTGGTGCAACAAAGCTATTTGATCGCAAAGTAAAATCTGGCGAAGAAAAGAAGGCAATAAATATTTTCAAGAAATTTATAAGTTCCAAAATATGATCTTCAAAGTCAATACTTGCCTCAGACAAAACCCATAATTTTTTTTCTTTAAATTGCAATTAATGCCCTTCTGAAAATGAAATTAAATAAAAATTCACGTCATTAATTTGTTCAAATATGAACGAAGAAAGGGGAGTATTTCTAATCAAATATTCATGATCAATATATGACATAATAGTACAGAATACATTAAGTGTAAATAAGTAATTGGAAAAATAATTATGCGTAGTTTTCTTCTTTTCAATCGTAGACGATCACACTCTGTTTCGAAATCAACGAATATGTAATTGTATTGAAGTTGTTTGAGACGGAGGTTGGTATTTCTAAAAAAAAAAATATTGAAACAGTCGAAAAATAAGAATATATTAGAATGTTAGCCTACCTTCACAAAGGTCTTGAAATTCCTAAAGGTGCCATTTAAACTCGCCGTTGTATCATTGCTGCCTCTATATCTATAGTGTGAACGTTCATTCATCTTGGTATTATTATGCAAAGATATTTCCTGTATTTCAATGGCATTTTTCATGTTTTCCAGCCACTTGCGGTGATCCTCTGTAATAGAGTCTTCATCATCGTTTCCATTAATTTCCTGTTTGATCTTGACTTCATCATCTTCATCCTCGTTCTTTCCTTCAAATTCACCATTAACATTTTCGTTTTTAACATCAGCAGGTTCTGGTTTAATAGTAACACCATTTTCATTCTTAATTTTAATTTTTCCCAACGAACCGGATATCCAATCTATGGCAGAAATTGTACGTGGTAAAACTTTCGGTTTGGGCACTTGTATCATGGAATAATTCTTCGGTTTTGGTTTTTCAATGACCACAAACTTTTGTGTGGACACCATCACCTCAGAACTGTCTTCATTTTGATCGTTCTCCGTGCTGCCTTCTTGGTCATTTTTATTCGAGTCCTTAAATGCAAACAAGTCGTCATCGGCTTCATCGCCTGCTGTTCGTTTTTTCTTGCTTGTTTGTGTATCACCGAAGCAGAAAAGATCATCTCCGTCACCTTCCTCGCCGTCTTCTTCACCCAGCACTTGGATGTGGGGACGTTTCCGATTCGTGTTGTTTGTGGCATTTCCATCATCGTTACGCAAAGGCGATGAGGGTTTCATTATTTTACTATCTGTTTCAGAGTTGTCATTGTAACAGGCAAACATACTGCGTTTAATGGGTCGAGCTCCCTTAGCAACAGCCTGCTGCTGCTCTTCGTTGGAAACATTCGAGGGTTCTTCTCCTTCAGCATTTCTGTTACACGACTTTTTCGGAAAGTGAAACAGTTCCTCATCATCGCTATCTTGCGAGTCTGCACTCAGTACATTGATGTGTTTTCGTTTCTTGGGTTGCTCCACTGGTGTTTCGGATATGTACATGTTGGGCATAGTTTCCTGCATGTCCTCCGAGTCATTTGGAGGGGCCATGTCATAAGGCGTTGAAGTCACCAATTTCACATTGGTTTCTGGTATTCCAAAACCTTGCGATTGTGTGTTCACATCGCCACTCAAATCTAGAGATCTAGCCGTATTTGGAATACTTTCTGGTATTTTGTACAATGGATTGCAGTTTTCCTGTGTTGAGCATTTAATTATGGCTAAACCGATTTCGTATTCGGGTATAATGCGTCTGGAATGGTTTTCAAGTATTTCTAGAAACACAAAAAGTTTACAAAGAGGCGTGCATATTTGATCAGATTGCTGTAGTTTACTTACCGGTAATTCCTTGAATTGTTTGCGAACTTTGTGATTGTGTGGATGGTATGTGCTGAATGACAACAACGTTATTCTTTATTAGAAAGCTTTTCTGTACTCCGGATGTTATGTCTTTGCATGCACCTCCAGCAGCTCTAACAATCGGTCCATAGGTATCGTAATGCTTGCGACACAGGAATATGAATGTCATTCCATTGAAAATTAAACGTCTCTGAGGCTTCGGTCTTACGTCGACATCAGCCTCGTCGAACGGTGGACGATACAATTCCGGCTTGGGTAGTTGTGATTGCCGCTGAGCCACGGCTTTAGCCAAATCTTCCCAGTACTTGGTGGTCACAATGTGAGTTTGATCTATCAATGCATGCAGCAGTTTCACCGTAACGCTGGGGGTATTCATGGTTAAATGTGTACAGCATGGCGACCATTGATTCAGAATTTTTCCACTAATAGCTTTAAGGTTTTTGGTAACTTGAGTCACATCGTCTGCACTCAAGGCAGATGTGATTGTTATTACGTTTAACTGTTGAATTTTCCATATATTTTGCAGACGACCAAATCTAACGATATCGTTATTTTTCAAACGAGTTTTTTGCCCCTTCACCAGAGGTACATTCTTTTCGATGTCCTTATTGATAAATGTCCCATACTTAGAGCCCATATCTTCCAATTCGACATAGGTTTCATTTTCGGTCTCTGTTACATGGAATACAGCATGTGAACGACTGACACAATTATCATTCTGTAATTCCAAGTCAGTGCCCACGCGACCTACAGTGTATTTCGGTTTATCATTGGATAGATAGAATCTTTCACCTATTCAAAATATTAAGAAGGATATCCGAGTTAGTACGACGTTTCACTGGCTGGAAATTCACAAGCGATCTTCTCAATGATCGTAAACATGTATATTTATATATTTCATTAATAAATAGAAAGAAAGAAATATTAATATGAGGCTCAGACAAAATCAGAAAAAATGTGCGGTTTCCCATTATAATCATGGTGTCACAAGTTGTCTATCCGTACAGTAAGCTTTAACACGATGGTCGGCTCACCGAATTGGAGCTGCACGAGTTTTAGACTTTTTCTATTACTTTCTATAGGTCTTTGTTTTCTACCGCTTAATAAGAAAGACACACATTCTTTTATATTAAGAATTAAATAAATACTATAACCTAATTTCTTTTCTAGGAGCTATAGCGGAAAGTACAGCTTATATATTGATCCAACTAGGGTGCCTTTACATCCACCACTTGTGCAAAACTGTAGCATATTTTAAACTGCGATAAACCTATGTAGATAGATATACATTTAGTTAAAGTATGGGGGTATAAAAGTGCCAAGGTAAAATACAGCTAAAAATTGCAATTCTGAAATAATACTAATAATTACATATAATTTGCAGAACATAGCATTTACACGAAGTCATGTTGTTACCGGCAAAACATAAATGTTTCCCTCCTCATAAACTTCCTATCTTTGGGTGCATGCAGAAATAATAATAATAATAATATGGCTCCAACGAAAATTAAAAGAACTTGCAAAATTTTAGCGGGACTCCAAGCATATATACATGTAAACAAACATACCTATGCCTATACATCCTGATTCACATCAATATTATAACATAATTTAAACATTCATATAGTATATAGAATGGAGTAATGAAAAACTCCTATTTACATTATTCTTATCATCTTTTACAATAGCTCCACAACTCCAGACATGATTCACTTTGATTTTAATGCTTACAGTTGACGTTATTTTCTGTATATGTATATATGCAGCCCCAGCCAGTGGTCATTGGATGCACCAAATTACATACAATTGAACTAAAAGCCTTTCAAAAACCAAACATTTCGCTCCACATCAACTTACCGCTTGTTGTATGTGTCATAAACCACATTTTAATACGAAAATTTAATTATTTTGACGGAAAAAAACTATTTCAGTTGGAATCAATATTAAATATTTGACCCAGCGAGAAATAAATACGCGATAAAAACAAAGCGACTATATTTCGGCGTTGCCACCTGTTTACATTCGGGCCAAGCATACTACACAATAATACAACACTTAGTATACAAAAGACTTTGTAAATACCATGGTAGAAGAATATAGGTAGACGCGTCGACACATCTGCTGGGACAATGAACTGTCAAACCAATTTTGGAATTGAAAATGTTGAATGAAAAATTATTTATATGTGTAAAAATTGTTGAAAACGCAAATTATAATAGCCTCCGTATGACGTAGTATAAAAAAACATATAAAAATCCACTTATATTTGAAAAAAACATTTAAAATTTTTTGACATATCAATGCTCCCAAGCGTTGATGCATCTACCTGTATTCTTCTGCCATGGTAAATACACTACACAAAAAATACGTTAGCCTTCACAATTGCATTATCAGTTTGTTTACACAAAACAATTTTTCCTAATTAGAAGAAGAATCAAGAAGTTATATGCTCTCTACTAGAACCCGCACGAATCTACTAGTTTTGCCATTTTTCCCGGCTTAACTCTAGCTTAGTGAAAACCCTTCGATTTCTTCGAATTTTTTTTCCAGAGGTAGGTATTTATACCCTGATTCCGGGAAACTTTTTTTCTTGGGAGACGGACCCGGGAACCCAAAGTCCGGGTTCAAGACCCCGACTAGACCCAGATCCAATTACCCGATATAGACAATATAGGTATCGTTGGAAAGCTTATGAAAATACCAGGGGGTGATGGAGTAAGTAGTCATCGTTCTGAACTTTTAAGGGCTAAGTACATAAGAAGCTTGAAGTCATGGCTAGGCATATTTTGTGACATTTCACAAAGGGATTACAGAGCCGCACTAAAATCCAGCCGTCGTTTTCCATTATAATTTGACATTAATATGCTTAGCCATGACTTCAAGCTTCTTATGTTCTTAGCCCTTTAGTCAATTTATCAATTTTTTGTAAACGGATTTTTTATAAAACCCCCAAAAAGTCAAAAAAGGGCCCATTATAGGGGTCAACAAAATTGATGCCAAATTATAGCTGACACAACGATGGCGACATTTTGTATTGAACACATAATTTTAATGAACTGGTTAGAATCGGGTTATGCGGATGGAAAGACCATATCTTTGGACTCAGTATAGGTATTAGCACAAATTGTAGCACTTTGGAAAGTTTTGTTGACCCCCATAATGGGCCGTTTTTTTGACTTTTTGGGGGTTTTATAAAAAATCCGGGTAATAAGATTTCCAACGATACGTATATTTTCTATATCGGGTAATTGGATCCGGGTCTTGAACCCGGTCTTTGGAGTCAAAAATCAGGGATCCCGGGTCCGTCCCCCAAGAAAAAATAGTTTCCCGGGATCAGAGTAAAAATACCTACCACTGGAAAAAATTTCGAAAAAATCGAAGAGCACACATTAGTTGAACAGGAATTTAAAATCGACTATGAATAGTCGAGTACTCGATTTTCACCTAACTCCATAGTCGAGTTCGAGTTTCAGAACTTTGAGTACTGATGGTCGATTATTCGATTAATCGGAAGTCGACCTTCATATCCCTAGTTTTGCAGTGGTATCGTTTGTGAAGATTTAGTGTTCTTACAGATCCCTTTTATTTAGTTTTCTGATTTCGTTGTGCGGTGGTTTCGTTTCTTAAAAAGGAGAGAAAGAATTATTAAAAACCAGGATGTCGGCTTCTATAGAAATACCTCTTCGTGATACGGATGAGGTTAGTGTGCTTCGGTGTAGTATTGTTTATTCCAATTAATTCGAATTTTTCATGTTAGGTTATAGAGGTGCATCCCGACCAATTGCCAGAATGTGAGGAAGTTTTGAGCATTTTGCGGCAAGAGCATTCGCAGCTGAATACCTGGGTCAATGTGGCGGTATGTGAATCCATGTTTATTATACTCCATTTGTGATAATTGGTCTTATTTTTCGCGTATTTAGCTTGCTTATTACAAGCAAAACAAAACAGATGACTTCGTTCGCCTACTCGAAACGGCTCGGAATGAGGCCAATACGGAGTATCGGGAAATGGAAAAAGACAAAATGCGTTGCTATGATATGCTGGCCGCGCACTATGTTCATGAGGCGAACCGGGAAAAATCAAAGGACAAGAAGCGCGAACTGTTTATGAAGGCCACCAATCTGTACACAGCTGCTGATAAAATCATTATGTATGACCAAAATCACTTGTTGGGTAGAGCATATTTTTGCCTGCTGGAAGGCGACAAAATGGATCAAGCCGATGCTCAGTTCAATTTCGTCTTAAATCAATCGCCCTCGAATATTCCCTCGCTTTTAGGCAAGGCCTGCATTGCCTTTAACAAAAAGGACTATCGCGGTGCTTTAGCCTTCTACAAGAAAGCCCTGCGAACGAATCCCAATTGTCCGGCCAATGTGCGCATGGGTATGGGTCATTGCTTTCTTAAGATGAACAATCCTGAAAAGGCCAAATTGGCGTTTCAACGTGCCCTTGAATTGGACTCTAATTGTGTGGGTGCCTTAATTGGTCTAGCCATACTTAAGCTGAATTTGCATGAGCCTGAATCAAATAAAATGGGTGTGCAAATGTTGTCGAAGGCTTATACCATTGATTCGACAAGTCCTATGGTTCTTAATCATCTGGCTAATCACTTTTTCTTCAAGAAGGACTATCAAAAAGTACAACATTTAGCTTTGCATGCCTTTCACAATACCGAAAATGAAGCAATGCGAGCTGAAAGTTGCTACCAATTGGCAAGAAGTTTTCACGCTCAAAATGACTATGATCAAGCATTTCAATATTATTATCAGTCAACACAAATAGCTCCGGCAAACTTTGTGCTTCCACATTATGGTCTTGGTCAGATGTACATATATCGGGGAGATACGGAGAATGTAAGATATTCAATTACTTATTCATTTAATATGTACAAACATTTATAATTACTTTCATTTTAGGCCGCACAATGTTTCGAAAAAGTTCTCAAGATACAGCCGGGAAATTATGAAACCATGAAAATTTTAGGTTCCCTCTATGCCACATCCAGTTCGCAGACAAAACGTGACATGGCCAAGGCACATTTGAAAAAGGTCACCGAACAATTCCCTGATGATGTAGAAGCTTGGATTGAATTGGCTCAAATTTTGGAGCAAAACGATTTACAAGCCTCATTGGCAGCCTATGGCACAGCATCTTCAATTTTAACAGAAAAAGTTAAGGTAGAAATACCAGCTGAAATTCTTAATAATGTAGCCGCCTTGCAATATCGCCTGGGTAATCTTAAAGTTGCCAAGGAAAAACTGTTGGATGCATTGGAAAGAGCAAAAGCCGAGGCGCCCAATGATACACAATATTACGACTCCATATCGGTGACCATGACATACAACTTGGCTCGTTTGAACGAGGCAATGAGCAGTTTTGATGTGGCCGACAAACTATACAAGGATATATTAAAGAAACATCCTAATTACATTGATTGCTATTTGCGCTTGGGTTGTATGGCACGAGACAAGGGTCTCATTTTTGTAGCATCCGATTTCTTTAAAGATGCGTTGAATATAAATAATGACAATCCAGATGCCAGGTATGTTTAATTTTTACAGTTCCACAAAACATGTTTCACAGTTTGATATAATCGTTGATTTGTCTAAACAGATCACTTTTGGGAAATTTGCATTTGGCCAAAATGCAGTTTGCTCTAGGCCAAAAGAATTTCGAAACAATTCTTAAAAATCCTGCCACATCACAAGATGCTTATTCGCTAATTGCGCTAGGCAATTTCTCATTGCAAACATTACACCAACCCACAAAAGACAAAGACAAGGAAAGGAAACATCAAGAAAAAGCTTTGTCAATTTACAAACAGGTAAGACATTGACCCTCATCATGTAATTTAAAAAGAGTGTAAACATTTTACTGCGATAATCTATTTTTTCATTACGATATCGAAAAATTTACAAATCTACTACTCTTTAGAACAGATCAATTGTTTCAACATCAATGGAATAGTTATAAAAACAAAAAACAACTTGGGAAACTGCACCTGTAGTTCATAGTTGTCATTGACTGTTGTCGTTTAGGATATTTGATACATGTGGATTTGTAACCACAATTACAGAATTGAGGTCTATTTAAAAACAAAAAAATATTGTTTGCCTTCGTTTTAGGTTCTACGCAATGATCCGCGTAATATTTGGGCTACAAATGGCATAGGAGCTGTATTGGCACACAAAGGTTGTGTAATTGAGGCGAGAGATATATTTGCTCAAGTTCGCGAAGCTACTGCAGATTTCTGCGATGTTTGGCTTAACATTGCTCACATATATGTGGAGCAGAAACAATATATTAGCGCCATTCAGATGTACGAGAATTGTATGAAGAAGTTCTATAAACACCATAACGTAGAAGTGATGCAATATTTGGCAAGAGCTTATCTCCGAGCTAATCGTTTGAAAGAGGCAAAAATGGTGCTTCTAAAGGCCAGAAAAGTAGCACCACAGGACACCGTAAGTATAGAAAAATATATCAATCAATATTTTTTATGATCTAAGTTGTTAATATTTTAAGGTGTTGCTATTTAATATTGCCGTTGTTTTGCAACGTTTGGCTATGAATATTTTGAAAGATGAAAAATCCACTTTGGAAGTTGTACTGCAATCTGTCCATGAGTTAGAGTTGGCTCAAAAGTAAATATGTTTTCCATGGACTATTTCCCCTGTATTTTTATGTTTCCTTCTTCAAACAGATATTTCCAATATCTTTCCGTGCATGGAGACAAGACTCGTTTCAACATTGAAGTTGCTGGTATTGAAGCTAACCAGTGTCAGGACTTGTTGTCGCAAGCACAATATCATGTGGCCCGTGCTCGACGCATAGACGAAGAGGAGAAGGCATTGAAGCGCAAACAAGAAGAAGAACGTATGGCCTTCAAAATGCGCCAAGAGGAAGAACGACGAAAACGCGAAGAGCTGGAGAAGGCTTCGCGCGAGCAAATGTTGGCCAAACGTCAAGAGTATGTGGAGAAGACCAAGAATTTGATGCTGACATTAGATGTGGCACCAGAAAAGGAACGCAAAAAAGGTAAATATAATTCCCAATATTGAAATGACAAATTATACGAACAATGCTTATTTTAGGTGGTGGAAGGTCCCGCAAGGATGACATCGTTACTGATTCTGACGGCAGTGAGGGCGGTGGTGCTGCACGTATGGATGATGGTGGTGGCGAACGCAAAAAGAAATCTAAAGGAGCTCCACGTAAGAAGAAAGAAAGTGCACCACGCAAACGTAAAGCTAAGGATGCATACAATAGCGATAGTGATGGTGAGGGTGGCGCCAAGGAAAAGAAACAAAAGAAGAAACAAAAACTTAGCAAGAAGGCTGCCTTGGAGGAGAAAATATCGGCTAAACAACGAATGAAAATTGTTTCGAAAGCGACCATTTCAACGAGTGAATCTGATAGTGACAGCAATGCTGGGCCCCGAAAGAGGAAAGCCGACATTGTTAGCGGCAGTGACTCGGACGCCAGTGCTGGCAGTGTCAAACGTGCTCGTAAACGTATTGCTTCTGGAAGTGAATCGGATCGGTCACGATCAAGATCTAGATCAGGTTCCCGTTCGGTGTCACGTTCTCGATCGCGTTCGGTTTCCAGATCGCGATCACGCTCACGTTCTAAATCGGGAAGTCGCTCACGTTCTCGCAGCCGCAGTGGTTCTCGTTCTAAGTCAGGTAGCCGCTCTCGTTCGCCAAGCCGTTCCCGCTCACGTTCGGGATCAAGATCCGGTGGTTCGGGATCTGGATCCGCTTCTGAGTAATAACTATGAAAATAGATATTTACTTGATAATAAACTTATACACATAGGTATATTTATATAAAGACCTCTCATGAAAGAACTATGTATAGACACATTTAATAAATGTAAACAGATGTACCATTCACAGTCACGTATAAATAACTTTTTGAATTTTTTAAATATCAGATATGTAGTGGAAACAATCTTTAATCAATCAGATTGGTCAAATGAACTTATATTTTCAAAATTTAATTAGAGTTTTCATGAAAGGAAATTTGAGATGTAAACCGATCTATGCCAAAACGAGTCAAAGTGGTTTTCATCGCATGCCAGATACTTGTGTTTCAACCCTAATCGAGTCAATTGGTTTTCCTTATATTACCATATACAATCCACCTTAAAATAAACTGCAAACATGGTCATATAAATAAATATTTCCATTTATTTTAAAAGCTATGCGATTTTTTATAAACATAAAATAGACCGCATTCAACCTATTTTATTTCGTGCCAAGTATTTCTGAATTTTCTACAATCATGTCAGCAATAATTCCACCCATTTGTTTCGATGAACGCAGCACAAATGAGTGATCAATTTTTTTGGTATCTAACTGGGCATCAATGTCGGGAAATTGTTCTCTGAGTTGATTATAGTATTTTACCGGAACCCAGCCATCGGTTGTGCCATAGTAAAGTTTCAACAATGGTAGATTGTCACGTATTATGTCTTTCTGTAAGCCACGGACGCGTGCCATTTCATCTTCAGCTAAGAATACCACTTTTTCCGTTACTGTAGCCTTAATATAACCCAAAACTGTATTTAAATGATGACTTGGTATCGATGAGAACCAAAAGTATATTTGTACTAATAAAATTAATAATAGTTTGGGCAAGCGATTCAGTAAAGCAATAAGGAAACCAAAAACGGAATATAAAGGCAAACCAATTTTTGTAAATGTCCAACCATTTGGCGATTCAATCATTCGTTCTATGGTAGGGAATAGTAAATAGCATTTTTTGATACGTTTTCGTATCGCATCTTTTTGCAAAAGTTGTAGCACCATCCATGCTCCTATGGAATGTCCCATTAAATGTATCTTTACGTTATCAGGAACGTATTTCTCAATGAATTCTGCTTTGTGCCGAATTTGACCATCCAAATCGAACATCTCCTCATTTCCCTTCAGTTGTGGTACCTCACGAAGGCTGTTTTCTGGTGGATCGTCATGACCGGCATGCCCTAAAAAGTGAAATTGGGTAAATTACATTGGGTTAATAGAGTCACCAAAGGAAAAGTTTAATATGTACTAGAGGTGTATTCCAAAATTTTTGGAATGATAGACCATCTACCTGGTATCGTTTCACCGCACCACCTGTCTCATAATCGATGTTACAAGTCTGATATGCGAATGCATTGCAACATCATCACTGTCATGAGTCAGCTTTCACTTCTGAAGACTACACTACACTTACCGATTATCCATACGGGCATTTTCTTTTCGAGTCGTTCATGTAATGTTTCACAAAATTCCCCATAGAAACCTGGTAAGCCAGGATTTCCCGTTATACATATGGCGACTTCTTTAACATCATCTAAAGATTCCTCCACCCAGCCACCATAGGTAATGATACGCGTTGGGACATTACAAATATTAACAAAAGCCTCTTTCATTGCTCGATTTATTTTATTTTGACCTTTCACCTCGAATTGAGAATAGCGTCCAATGTATTAGTCTAACAATAGATACAGGTGAGATGACCGGCTACAACATTTACGACGTCATGAATGTGTGTTGTTTTTGCACACAACTTTCAGTTTAACAGCTGTTTGAGAAAAAGTTAACAACAATCGATGTTTGAATAATCGCACTAATTTGTCAAACGATTTTTTGAGTTTGTAATAGCACTGTTCACTTGTAAATCTGGTAAATGCGCAAAATGTCAAATTCGCCGAAAAGAGGCGAATTTCAGGGAAACTCAAAGCAAATTTTAGTATTTTAAATACAGTCCATTTTAACTTTTTAAATTCCGTCAAATGAAATCTCTTGGAGCAATGTCCCTCTGTTGTAATTACGCTAGAGTCAAAACAAATTAAGATAGGAAGCTAAATTGTTCCACGATATCGTATAATCCGCATATAACGGTATTCGATATTCTCCTATATTCGACATTTTGATGAATCAAAATACATTTTCAATGGAATTGTCTGAAATTCTATACAAGAGTTCTTTGTGGGTACTTTACCGCCTTTAAGAGAATAGCCTATACAGGTCGACGATATCGTAAATCCCTCATATAACGGCACCTAACGATATTCGGTATTTTGATGATTGTAGCCAAATTTTTCAATGGGATTGTCTGAAAATCCACAAAATGAGTTTCTTCGAAACCTCCTGGAAGAGTATTGTCTATATACGCCCACGATATCGTATATCCCCCATATAACGATACCTCTCGATATTCGGTATTTTCACCAATGATTTTGGCGACATCTTTAACCGGAATTGTTTTAAATTTCGTATTTAAAGTTTGAAGCTTATAATGAGTGCTACAGCTTATGACAAACAATTACTTATGCAGGTCTGCGTCTTCATATAGCCCCCATATTACGGTTTTCATTTAAGCGGTATTTTTCGACGGATTTTTTCAAGATTCTTCAAAATGGTGGAGGGTGTTAAAAGCTCGGCCCGGCCGAACTTAGCTGATTTTTTACTTGTTTTTATTCATATGTATTTAGTCGTTTCCAGAACCTACAAAAATTGAGTATTGCGAATTTTCAAGTTTTCAAAAAATTCCGTTAAAAAATACTGCTATAATCATAAAAATATTAAATATATGGAGTTATTGTTAATTGGGGCCTACAAGAAGACGTGGACTTGTATTTATATGTAATTTTTGTCATATGCCAATAAGATGTTCAAATACGAGACTTGAAAAAATTCCGGTGAATAATGTCTCTAAAATCATCGATATACGGAATATTGGTAGGTACAGTTGTATTGGGGGCTATACAAAGGCGTGGATCTGTCATAGGAAGTAGTACCCATTACGAACTCCAAACACCAAATTTGAAATAATTCCGTTGAAAGTTTGCACTCAAATCATCAAAATACGGAATATCTGGAGGTGGTACAAAAAATTGGACTATAAAGACAGTTCCGTTCAAGGATGTTTTCTTCATACTGGGAACACAAGCACAAATTGTGACTAAAACAACAAAAGATTATAAAACTCGTGGTACAGTTGTATGAGGACTGTACCAAAAAGTTAGACCTATATAGCCTATTTTCAAAACCAAAATTGCTGCCGACATAACACACATCTAAGTAAAATTTTATTAACCTACATCATTTCGTTCGGATACTACAGGGATTTCCGCAGACGAAAGGACATCGCTAAATCGACGAACTATGACCTTCAAACGGCCAATGATACCACACACGCTGCCCGAATGTTGCTTTTCGGTGTTTTGGCCCATTCCCGGCGAAGTGCTTGTGTGCTGGAAATAAAGCGAGGAACCTCATTTTGTAACCATTCTTGGTTGGCGCGTGCTGAGTGCGATGGTGCTGAGTCCTGTTGGAATTGCCAAGGTCCAGAATATTTTCGCGATAATATTCGGCATTTATTTTGATGCCACGTTCGATTAATACGAGCGGAGAGCGACCAACGCCTGTTAGCTCTTTTGAGTCTATTTTCTTTATATTGGGGTGTAAGTTCTTGCACTTTTGGAACTTCAGTGGCTTTACCCCGAGCTCATTTTTCAATATTTGCCGAATGGAACATTGCGATATGTTCAGCTCACGAGCCATTTTTCGATCACTGCGGCGCGGGTTTCGATCAAGTCGCTTCTTTACTTTTCGAACCATTTCTGCTGATGTTGGTGTTTTCTTCCGTCCATTTCCTTGACGTCGGGCTACTCTACCAGTATCACGGTAACGAGCGATGGTACGAGACGCAAAAGATTTATTCACATTTAAATGCTGGAGTGCTCTAACGATAGCAACTTGTGGTTTTCCAGCCAAATATAAAGAAATCACAGTATCACGCTTGAATTCCATCACGAATAACTTTTTTCTGGAAAATTCTCACCAAAATGCTTTTGTACGCTTGTAAACAATATAATGAGCTGTCTCTGGAATAATTTTAACAGCTGACGGACAGGTGGCTAAGAAATGAAATCAGTCTGAAGTTGGTTGCAGTTTTTTCATCTCACCCTGTATGTATTTATGGTAATTTTGACAGTACAATCCTTCCCATGAACTTTTCATCATACGTTTAATGTCTTTGAGTGCCCATTTTGATTTTCATTTCACTTGGGTATTTTTTTTTTTGGGTACAAATGCCACTACCAAATACTGGCAACTCTGCCAACATGTTGTCTTCAAACAAATGAGTAAGAGAGTGGGTTTTTATAACACAACAATGACTGAATTAATTTTGCAGCACTTTTGTTGGATTTTTGTTCAGTTTAATTTTGATTGAAGTTTGAACGTGAACGTCGTGCGTATGACAACTGAGGATCGCGGATGCATAAAAAAGTAAACAAATTCGAAATTATTAAAAAAGTAACGAAATAAAACGTGACCGCAAATTCAAAATTAATGTTTGCAAATAAAAGTGTGGCTGATTGCAGTGCAAGATAATTTCTTTAAAAATTGTGGTCTATTAATTGTAAGCACGTCTTTAATCGACTAATCGATTAACAAGTGAAATTATTAGAAGTTTTGAGTGATTGAAAGAAGTATTTTTAAATATTACAACAATAAATATTAAAAAAAAGAAAAAGTTGAAAAGCCAAACCTTTAAATATTTAAAGAAAAAAATAAATAAATAAATGCGTATCGTGTTCTACTTTTCATGCTATTCGTAAGAGTTGTGTTTTTCGTAAAAACACAAAAAACACAATAGATATATTTAAATAATTTAAACTCTACCAACAAAAACCAAAAGTTTAAGGTAAACAATAGCCGGGGATAAAAACGAAAAGACAACAACAACAACAACGAAATTAAACCCGGTTGGCATACATTTGAATAGGAATCTTGAAAATAACAACAACTACAACCAAAGACGAAACCCCAATCAAGAAGCATTTCTTTGAAAAGCCAACCAGCCGACCAGAAAGCATCTTCATTACGAGGTCATAAACTGGTTGCCTGCCTGCCTGTCTGCATTTGGATAACACAATTTTTGTATCGTAAAAGGTAAAAATATCTATGATAAACACTTCGTTTCGAAAGGTTTCTAAGAGTGTATGTAAATATAAACATAACTAAAATGAATAATAAGGTTACGCCAAAATGTCTTGGCTTCTCGGCAAACAAATATGCCATCCCAAAGTAAGAACTCCCAATTACCTATTTTGTTGATATGAAACAGAGAAAAAAAACTAATAATAAAAAAAGTTGTTATGCCGGTTTGAAGTGAAAACACCATACATTTGAACTCACACACACACACACACACGCGTATGTATACACAACTCCAAAGTGTCTTTCATGAACACAACTCCAAAGTATCTTTCATGAACAGTTTTTGGACTTGTACCTTGTTTCAGTTCAAATATAATTTCCAGAAATTGCACAGCTGTGTTAGGTTCCATACGCGAGTAATTTTATAAAATACATGTCAAGATAAAGTAAGAGAAGTTTGCGTTTCAAGATGAAGGAGTTAAAATTACTCTTTAGTTGACCGGGATTTACCAAAGTTAAAGACCAAATGTACATGCAATTATTGTTACCATCCTCCATATTTTTGTTTGGAATTGGTCAGAAGGGTTCGTGGCTAAAGACTAAAAGAAATGTCAATATTTGTTTACCGTTTTTATTCCCCCCACAACCTACCTAATAGCTCGAAATATACATTTTAGATCCCACAAAGAATATATATATACTGGGTGAGATGAAAAAACTGCAACGAACTTTAGAGTGCTGTCATTTTTAAGCCACTCGTCCGACATCTGTTAAAATTATTCCAGTGACAGATCATTATATTGTTTACAAGCGTTCAAAAGTATTTTGGTGAGAATTTTCCAAACAAAAAGTTATTCGTGATGGAATTCAAGCGTGATAGTGCGATTTCTTTGAATTTGGCTGGAAAACTACAAGTGGCAATCGTTAGAACACTCCAGCATTTAAATGTGAATAAATCTTTTGTGTCTCGTACCATCGCTCGTTACCATGATATAAAGAAGCGACTTGGTCGAAAACCACGTTGCAGTGGCATATCGCAATGTACCATTCGGCAAATATTGAGAAATAAGCTTGAGGTAAAGCCATTGAAATTCCAAAAAGTGCAAGAACTTACACCGCAACAGAAAGAAAATAGGCTCAAAAGAGCTGCTTCGCTTATCCGAAAGGGGTGAACTGTCGAATTTGGTTTTCTCCGATGAGAAAACATTCGTTGTCCAGCAGTTTGTAAACAAACAAAATGATCGTGTTTACTTGCCAAAGAGGTCAGCTGAAGATGCGCACCTTCGGTTGGCCACTAGAACTCAAGCGCTGGCCATGGTGATGGTGTGGGCCGCCATAACAGGCGATGGTCGCTCTCCGCTCGTTTTAATCAAACCTGGCATCAGAATAAATACCGAATATGATCTTTTATTTATTATTATATATTAATATTCTGGACCTTTGCAATTCCAACAGGACTCAGTAGCATCGCACTCAGCACGCGCCACCTAAGAATGGTTTCAAAATGAGGTTCCTCGCTTCATTTCCAACACACAATGGTCTGCAAAATCTCCGGATAACAATCCGTTGGACTATTGTGCCTGGAGTATTTTGGAAAACAAGGTTGGCACTAAAAGTACGAAAGTGTCGATCACCTCAAGCAAGCGTTTCGCCGGGAATGGGCCTAAATACCGCAGAGCAACATTCGAGCAGCGTGTGATGGTTTCATTGGTCATTTCAAGGCCATAATTCGTGCCAAAGGTGATTAATTCGAACAAATCCAAACTTATTCTAAAATTTGATGCTATTTCCGATTTTTTTTGCTTTCAATAAAAATAAAAATGTAAAAATTATGGCGTTTAACTTTGTTGCAATTTTTTTTTATCTCACTCTGTATGTATTCTCACCTTAACTTTTTTTATACCCTACACCACATAGTGGTAAGGGTATTCTGCCTTTGTGCATTTGAATGCAACATGGTCAAGGAAGCGAGATTGACCCATAGTTACTTTTGAAAATCTCCATAGAATCAATTTTTGACTCGTTTATGCATGTCAGTCCGTCCGTCGGTCCATGTATTTTTGTGAACAAAATGCAGGTCGCATTTATTATCCGATTGAGATGAAATTTTCCAAACAATATTTGTTCGACCCAAGGACGCAACCTGTTGAAATTGGTAAGAATCGGTTCAAACTTAAATATAGCTCCCATATATCTCCAACCGATTTCTAGTTAATTGTGCACCAAGTGGCCAATATCAGAAGCAAGTACATCAAATTTGGAAAAAATCGGTCCAGATATAGCTATAGCTCCCATAAATAAGTTTCATCCGATTTGGTATTTAAGTCCCTCACATTCGTAATATGCACCCCACAATAATGATATTTGGTACCAGCTATCAGATACAGCCCACAAATACCTCTGCCAAATTGTATCAAGATCGGTTCAGAGTTGAATATAGCTCCCATACATAACTTCAACCGATTTCGGTTTAAATGTGCACCAAATGGCCAATATCTGTCAAAAATTCCTAAATTTTGGTAAATCCGACCGAATTCAGTCTAGAAGCAAGTACGTCAATTTGCAAGTACGAAGATCGGTTCAGATATAGCTATTGCTCCCATATATATATATTTCATCCGATTTGGTGTTTAAGTCCCCAACATTCGTAATTGCACTCGACAACAATGATTTTTGGTACCAGATATCTTATAGAGCTCGGAAATACCTTTGCCAAATTTAATCGATGGCGGCTAAGATTTGGATATAGCTCTCATATATATCCTTAATCCGATTGAGATTCGACCCCATTTGGCGGAACTCGGCTCCGATATATATAATGTTTAATATAATCCCTCTCGTAGTGATATCATGCATTATATTGCATTGTTATTTGGTATAAATAATAAAAATGACTCCGTCAAATTTAGTGAAAATCAATTCAGAATTGGATATGTCTCCCATACATTAGTTCCCCCTGAAACCCAACTATAACTGCTCTAAAGCTAAATGTTGATAGGTTGTATGATCTACTTCAACTAAATTATTTTGTTATGGGAGCTCTACTAAATATGTATACTGGTGTAGGGTATCATATGGTCGGCCCCTCCCGACTTTTGACTTTTCCTTACTGGTCTAGTTGTCATTCTATTCAATCTTTATCTTTCAAAATTTATACAATATCTACAGTGAAGGCATATTTGTTTATCGTTACACCCTAGTTTCGCGGTGAGCAATAATGCCCATTCAGCGCACGCAATCGGGTAAAGCATTTGTGTCTTCCATTACATTTGCGGTAGAACAAAACCACTTGTGATGACAACTAAGTTGATCGGTAGCTCGTTTGTAGGTACACATATTTCAAAATCATAAGAACATTAAATTTGTTACGAAATCATTGGAACATTAAATAATGCCGGCAAATAACAGAAGAAGAGCAGGAAGAAAGAAACATTGTGTGATTTCAAATCAAATTATGAGTTTCAACATTTACGCATGAATTTATGCGAACGGAGTTTTTAAGAGGTATGTTCTATAACATGACTCAGAACAGGTTTCTTTTGTCATCCAAGTGTGTAGATGTTTGTAATAGTTTTCTAATTAAGTTTTTATGTACTTCAATTAACAAAAAGGTAAAATGATTTCTGTTAGACAATCATACTTGACATTCTTCGGGTCATAGCCATATAGGCAATTTTTAGTCATATAGGTCTGTGAGCTACTTAGAAAGTAATTTGAAGGCCTTTTTATTGTAAATTTAATAATAATGCTTTGCTTTTTGTCAAAAATGATCTTAGATATATTCCTTAGTGTTTTTCTCACAATGGAGGACAAAAAATTATGGGTCCATTTGATCACAAATCAATCGATTTATACAGGGTGACATGGAAAAACTGCAGCCAATTTTAGACTGCTGTCATTTCCAAGCCACTTGTCCAACAGCTGTTAAAATTATTCCAGTGACAGCTCATTATATTGTTTACAAGCGTACAACAGGATTTTGGTGAGAATTTTCCAGAAAAAAAAAAGTTGGTCGTGATGGAATTCAAGCGTGATAGTGTGATTTATTTATATTTGGCTGGAAAACCACAAGTGGCTATCGTTAGAGCACTCCAGCATTTAAATGTGAATACATCTTTTGTGTCTCGTACCATCGCTCGTTACCGTGATACTAGTAGCGTAGCCCGGTGTCAAGGAAGTGGACGGAAGAAAACAGCAACATCAGCAGAAATGGTTTGGAAAGTAAAGAAGCGAGTTGATCGAAACCCGCAGTGAGCGAAAAATGGTTCGTGAGCTGAACTTATCGCAATATTCCATTCGAATTCGAATATTCGAAATATTGAAAAATGAGCTCGGGGTAAAGCCATTGAAATTCCAAAAAGTGCAAGAACTTACACCGCAACAGAAAGAAAATAGACTCAAAAAGGTCAGCTGAAAAGGTGCACCTTCGGTTGTCCACCAGATCTTTAGGGCCAGCCATGTTGATGGTGCGGGCAGCCACAACAGCCGATGGTCGCTCTCCCCCCATATTAATTGACCGTGGCATCAGAATAAATGCCGAATATTATCGCGAAAATATTCTGGAGGGTGTATTAAAGCCTTGGGCACGCAAACATTTTGACCGCAGACCTTGGACATTCCAACAGGACTCAGCACCATCGCACTCAGCACGCGCCACCCAAGAATGTTTACAAAATGAGGTTCCTCGCTTCATTTCCAGGACACAATGGCCACCAAAATCTCCGGATACCAATCCGTTGGACTATTGTGTCTGGAGTATTTTGAAAATCAAGGTTGGCACTAAAAATAACAAAGTGTCGATCAGCTCAAGCAAGCGCTTCGCCGGGATGGACCAAAATACCGCAGAGCAACATTCGGTCAGCGTGTGACGGTTTCATTAGCCGTTTGAAGGCCATAATTCGTGCCAAAGGTGAACAATTCGAACAAATCTAAACTTAATGCTATTTCCGACAATAAAATTAAAAAAAAAAAAAATTAAAAATTATGGTTTTTGACTTTGTTGCAGTTTTTTT